TAGCGCATGGCGGTCATAAAAAACCCTAAACACTTGAAACCCGTAACCCTGAACCCTTAGATCCCTTAACCCTTACGCAAAAACCCTAAGCCCTTAAAGCCCATACAACACCTCCCCTTCAACAGGCAGCAGAATGATGCTGGAGAGGGACTTACACCACCTTGCTTGGATCCTTATCGACTGGAAGAAGAGGTGTGTGAGAGGAGGATGTGAGTTGATTTGAGATGGTTTTTTTGTTGGGGGGGGATGGCGTTTCGGATATTGAGTTTTGGGCTTTGAAGGGATTAGGGCCAGGGTTTTGGGGGGCGGGCATTCAAGTTTTAGAGTTGAGGGTCTGGGGTTGATTTGCGCAGACAAACCTCAGCCCCTGAGTCCAGGGCATGAGGCATAAATATATAGTAACATAGGGGTATATATTGGCACCCTTTGGTGCACATCATAAGTCAGTACTGTGCAGGACGCGAGTGCGCTGGAGCAAAGCCCGAAACCCCAAATCCGAAGCCCCAAGCCGTAAGCCCCAAGCCTGTACCCTAAACCTCGAATGTCCATCCCCGCACTCACTAAGCAAGAAGTTTATGTTCTAGATGGTGGTGAAAAAACTGGGGGTGTCACGTGGGGAGTCCCCTTTATAAGGGTTATAGTATACTGGGTCCAGATTGGGGTTCCGTTATTTTCGGAAACTACCATATTTGCCTTCTTAATTGCTTCCAACACATCATTTTTTGTGGTTCAAAGGGATACCAAATACCCCGGAAAGTGATGTGTATTGGGGCAAAACCCTAAATCGTAAACCCTAAACCACATATAGGAAGCCCTGAAGAAGAGGCAATTGGTGTACCTGGATGCCATCACTTGCGTCATGGACGCGTTCGTCCTGCCATGCTTGGCACTTGAGATGCGGCGCTGCTGTGTTGCGGCGGGCAGTTACCACACCTGCGCCATCACAGCAGGTCAGCTTTCGGGACATGCGGGTTTAGGATTTAGGGTTCGGGTGTAAGGTTTAGGGTTTAGAGTGGGGGTTTAGGGTTAGGGTTCGGGTTTAGGGTTTAGGGTTCGGGTTCAGGGTTTAGGGTTGCAGCAAGGTACAGACCTCTCTTTTCCTGGTGGTAGGAAAAGCATTTGTACTCGTTGTAGTAGTTCAATGATAACGCGATTGTCTCATACTCCTTTTATGACTTGATTTTATGATAGCATCAAACCCTCAATGTGATCACCCAGGCACCTATTGTTATGGTCGAACCCCAAGCCCTAACCCTAAAGACCAAACCCTAAACCTTGAAACCCAAAAAAGAAATTGCAAACCCTACAACCTAAACGCTAAACCCTAATCCCCAAACCCCAAGAAAGGAGAAATAGCGAGGCATCGACATGGGGATAGACTGTTGGCCAAAACCCCCAAACTCCTACACTACCCCCAACTCTAAACCTAAACCCCAAACCCTAAACCCTAAATAGCTGTTACTATTTCCTAACCAAACTGCAGCGTATAACCCTAAACCCCAAACCCCTGAAGCCCCAAACCCTAAACCCCCAACACCATCAACCCCATAGTCCCCCTTAAGTAGATAGAATATGGATATATGGGGATCTCATTATAATATACCCCATATACCCAAAAGCCATATTCTCTCTACAAACGGGGGACTATAAACCCTAAACCCCTAAAGCCTAAACACCAGGGTAACCCTAAACCCTAAATAGTAGTTTCCATTTTCTTGTCCATTATCCATATAACCCCTTTATAACACCTATATATACCCTAAACCCTAAACCCCTAGACACTAAACAGCAGGGTACAAGCTCAGCATCTTCGGAGACACCTTCCGGGAGTACACAGACTACGGGCAGCGCAACATTCCCTGCAACCTGGGCAGTGATTCGTTGGGCTGAACAGGGTTTAGGCCCTAGGGTTTCGCGTTTGGAGGCTGATCTTTAGGCTCTAGGGTTTAGGGTTTGGAGGCTGGGGTTTAGGGTTTAGGGATTCCTTGGGTTGAACATGGTTTATTACTGCTTAGGGTTAAGGGTTGGGTTTAGGGTTTAGGGTCTATTGCTTAGGGTTTGGGAGGGGTCATTTTGATTTTAGAATTTTTCAACTGAGAAATTTAGGGAACCTAAGTAATAGCAAGTTTATATGGGCTTGGGGGGTTAGGGTTTAGGGTCTAGGGTTCGGGGTTTAGAGGTTGGGGTTGAGGGTTTAGGGCTTTCTAGGTTTTAGGATTTTGGGCCCTAAGCCCTCAAACCTAAATCCTTATAATCCCTAAACCCTCAATCCCTCAATCCCTAAATCCTAAATCCTGAAAACCCCTCCCCTAAGCTCTATAGTCCTAAATCCCTAAACCCTCAAATCCTAAATCCCCAAACCTCATAATCCTAAATCCCTAACTCCCTAAGCGCTGTAGCAAGCGCACCAGCAGGCACCCCCGCTTTCCCTTACGGCTGACACCCCGGTTCTTTTATTGTTTCGGGTTCAGGATTCAACGTTCAGGGTTTAGGGTTTTGGGTATAGGGTCTGCCCTAATCCCTATAAACCCCTCTGCCTGGCAGGTTCATGGGAAGTTCTGCATGCCTTGTGAATCAGGATACCCAGGATCAACAGCCCATAGCGTAGGCCGATTGGTTTCGCCTTGGACTCTAGCTTAGGCCCGACATATGCACTTAGAAGTGCTCCTAACAAATCTACCTAGTCAGACGTGTTCTTACTGTGTCTGTGGGCTCTCGGCTTGGGTTACCCCAAACCCCAAACCCGCAAAACAAAGACCCTGCGTATCACATTTGGCCTTTACAGGGTTTGATTACGGGGGTTGGGGTTGCCAAGCTCCTCCTCCTACTGTTAGGGTTGGTTTAGGGTTCAGGGTTTAGGGTTTTACGTTGCAATCCCTTTAAACCCCTACATACATCCAGCTTTCCGCATTCTGTTCCATTTGAGCTTCCATTATTGGAGTTACCAAAGCCCTTTTGCTACAACCTCTATACTATACATCCCTATACATGCCTGCATCATCCCTAAACCCTAAGCCCTAAACCCGAAACCCTAAACCTTAAACCTTAATCCTTAAACCCTAAACCTTAAACCCTAAACCCTAAACCCCCAAACCTCATCCTTAAACCCCCAACCCCTTGTATAGTCCTTGTTTTGGTTTTAACCCAAGGCAACCTTGGCCGTGTGCTATCCGTCAGTGCTGGCAGCTGCCACACCTGTGCCGTGAAAACCAGCGGCGAGTTGGCGGGAGCTCCTCAAAAAAGGGAAGGGTTTAGGGGTAAGGGTTTACGGTTCAGGATTTAGAATTTAGCGCTTAGGGCGTAGGAATCTTGAGTCTAGGATTTGGGGCTCAGTGGCCGCATGTACGATAGCTAATGCAGGGGGGTGTCTCAAAAGATGGCACATAGACCGGGTGTACTCAGAGTTGCAGATTTGTATCATGGGAGTATTCACAAACCAGAGGGGTTATCCCCAAAGTAGCTTCTGTAGATCCTGCAGCTGAGACCCCTGGAAGTGCCCACCCTAAACCCTGAGCCTAGACCCTACTTGGAGGGTCAGGGGGACGTAGTAAGTAGATAGCGGGGATAACTAGGGTGACTGTATGGATTATTGGGGTCATTAACCTACTTACTAAGTCGCCCTGACCTTCCGTAAGCCCATATAATGGTTCTCACCCTAAACCCTAGATCCTAAACGCTGCTCTAGAAGAACCCCAGGTGTGCTTTGGCCACGACTATACTGGGCAGTGCCGGATTCCGGCAAACTTGGGCCCAGTGCTGGCTGTAGCTTCGACATTATCCAGAGAAACGATTAAGTGTGTAGGTTTCGGGTTCATTCGCCCAAAGCCACGGTAATGTCTGCTGCATACGTGTGCCCCAACTGCCAAACTTTTATCTTTAGTGCGGCCATGCTCCAAAACCCAAAAGCAGGAAAACCCCAGCCTAAACCTTGAAAGTCCAAGCTCCCAAAACAACAGCCCTTTCTTCCAAACCTAGGTATCGGCCGGCCGAGATCACACTTGCACCATCCGTGCAGGCGGTGAGCTCATCTGCTTCGGCGGCAACAGATACGGCCAGTGCAACGTTCCACCAGAGACTTGCTGGTTGTTGAGGGTTTAGGGTTCAGGGTAAGGGCATAAGGGCGTATAGAACTTGTATAGGGTTCATGTCCAGAGTTTTGACCGTTTTTTGACCGGTATGTGCTTTGGTTTTGGCTGTGGATGACTCTATACAATTTTCGACTACCCTGGGCTTGAGGGTTTAGGATTTAGAGTTCAGGGTTTAGGATTTAGGCTTTTGGGATTACCGTTTACTTGAAGGTTCATGGGATCAAGGGGCTACCTATAACTGGGCTTATAACCCTACTCATGATGCGTGTTCTGATTATAAATAGGGTTGCAAGCCCAGCTATGCGAAGTTACTAAGTCCCGTGAACCTCCAAGTACTGCTTGCTGGAAGGGACTGGAAAATCAAACTGGAAAAGAAGACGGAAATCAAGATGGATACTGGGTTTTACAAGCCTTTATAGCGTTGAGGGTTTAGAGTTATCTTACTGGTTGTTTTAAGCCTTAACCCTGAATACATGTTTTCCATTTTCCTTCCCAGAATTGAAGAGAGTATTTTCAGTTCTTTCCATTCTTTCCTCGTTATATAGCCCCTACATAGCACAAAGCACAAGTTTCCATTTCATTCTGCATGTACATCATTATAATAATGTCCCTACAGCATCCATAGCCAACACCCGAAACCCCAAACCCTAAACCTACCAGCAAGGACCTAGGGCCTGTGGTCGCAGTCGCAGCAGGGATGCACCACACCTGTGCAATCAAGGCCGACGGGCAGCTGGTGTCTGGGTCGGTTTTGGTTTCGAGTTCAGGGTTCAGGCTTTTAGTTTCCTACTAGTGTTAGATATGTTCTCTGGTTTCGTTATGAACTTCAATTTTCAAGGTATGCTAAGGCTCCATGAGGAAGATAAAGCTAGAATTCAGCTCCCTAAACCCTAAACCCCCCAAGCTTGAACCAGGTTTGCTTCGGGGACAACGAGTATGGGCAATGCATGGTCCCGAAAGACCTGAACACCGCGGTCGCCGTGGCGGCAGGGGCCTTCCATACCTGCGTCACCAGGTTTGGTGTTTAGGGTTTAGGATCACTAGGTATCCCAGTAGTATATAGCTTTTTTCCTTTTTTAGTTTAGGGATTAGGGTTAAGGGTTTAGGGCTAGGTCCCCCTGTAGTAGCCTTTTCCTATTTTTTGGGGTCTCCATTGTAAAAGCTGAATTTCAGGAAACAGTACCTTTATCAAAGACTTTAAGTTTGTACCCTGAATGTTTGTAACCTTAGGTTTTGGGTCCCAAATACCACCACGGTCCAGGGATCCAAACCTAAGGGTACAAAGGAAAACTCCCGGACTTTATTGTTAGAGGGTTGCTGGGGAACCTAGGTCATCACCGAGGACGGTGTCTTGGTTGCCTTGAGCCTGGCTCATGGGATTCTATAGTCCCCCCTGAAGTAGATAGAATACAGGATTCAGGGCTTAGCATTTAGGCTATAGCCCCCCTTAAGTAGATAGAATATAGGACATATGGGGATCTTATTCTGATAAGCCCAAGGCCATATTCTATCTACTAAGGGGGACTACAAGTTTTTGGGCTTCCCAATCATTAGATTCAGAAAGGCTAGTAGCTTCACGTTTAGGAGGGATCCTACGGTCGACTAAGGTGTGTTGTCCTGCTTCGGCTTGCATGACGACGGCCAGTGCGAGGTCCCCAAAGGCCTGGGACCCGTCATGGCCGTGGCTGCCGGGGCCCTTCATACTTGCGTGCTGCTGCAAAGCGGCAGTCTCACCTGTTTTGGTAGCAACCTCTACGGCCAATGTTCGGTGCCCAGAAACCTGGGCCCTGTTGTAGCGGTGGCTGCCGGTGAATCCGTGACCTGTGCCGTGACGGAGGACTGCCGGCTGGTGTGTTTTGGCCGCCACAAGCACGGCCAGTGCAACGTGCCCTCGGACCTTGGCTTAGTGCAAGTCCCGACTTATGAGTAGGAGGAATTAAGAACAGTAAGAGTATCAAATGGTAATAAGAGCAAAAGTATGTCCCGGAAAGAGGCCTGCTTCCTTGGGGCTTTGGGGCTGGGGCGTTTATTGTGACATGCCAGACATGCTCCCAATCCTTTGTGAGAAGTGTTTCAAAGGGGACGAGTGTAGTCAACAATAAAATGCGACATTCTACACAGGCACATATGCTTGTTTCCACAAATGCGGGGGGGGCCCTCATGCAGACCCGAGCATACTACCATTTTTCTAAGAAGGGCTCCTGAAAAAGTCATCCCCCAATGTTTGGAAACGGTTCAAATATTGTGGAGACAGTTTCCCAAATCCAAACCCTAAACCCTAAACCCTAAACCCTAAGCCCTAAACCCTAAACCCTAAACCCTAAATGAATAAACACTAAAAACTACTGGCAGGCATCCTTTATGAGCTTGTTTGTAGGGTGCCGAAGCGCAAACGGTGTCGAGCTCATGGTGGCCAGCTTTGCAGAATACCATACTCCTGGGTCATTTGTTAGAAACACCTTCTAATTGGGTTGTATGTTACAAGCCAACAATGAACTATGAAACTACAATCACAGGGAAAGCCAGAATCCCTGACAAGGCTCAGATTTCCCTGTGGGCTCCCTATAAGTGAATCCCAATTTCGAGATCTCCCACACCCCCCCACCCTCCAACCTTTACACGCAATTCCTAGACCCTAACCATAAAATCTAGACCCTAAAATTCCGAAAACTCAAAATTTCAGAGCCAAGGCTGCGAGTGCCTCGTCGCCTCGCGCCGGCAGCCGGAGTCCAAGACTAATTAGTAAGGTCCTTGACCTCAAATCCTAAAACTTAAATCCTCAACCCTAAACCCTAAACCCCAAACACTCAACTCTAAACCCAACACCCAAAACCTTAAACCCCAAACCCCAAATAGTGCCCCCGAGCAAGCCAAGTCCTGTGGGACCCAACACAGTCTTCTACTGGGCCACCTTGCTGTGTGGCTGCCGCGAGGCGGAGGGTGTCGATGCGGAGTGCCAAAGGCAGATTCACGAGCTGCAGCCAGGCTCTCGCATCATTTGGCTTGATTGGAAACAGAACGTGACAATGCCGATTTGTCACGTCGAAACAGGTGATGCTTCCTGGGCGCAGGCTCGCGCGGAGTGCTCGATATTGGGCATCATCGTCTACACCGGCAGAGCCAATCAAAAACCTCTCAAGAAGTGCATTCTCTACATCTCCGACATCATTGATCACACCGCTCTCGCGGCAGGTTTGCAGCTCGTCGACCCTGGTCGCACGTTGCAGGATGACGAGGAACCGCACCAGACAGAGCAGCAAACATGATGGCTTTGCTGTGCTGGAGCGTTGGAGCGGAGCTTTGCACGCTGCTTGTGGGCTTGTTTCGGTCCTGATCCTGTGGAAGTCCCCATGGAGGAACTAGAAGACGTAATACAAGCTCTTAAAAAACAAGGCCCCAGGCCCGGACGAGATTCGAGCTGAGTTGATACTATTACTGGATTACTGGTGACAGGTAGAGCTACTCCGCATGGAAAAACTGTTTCGCCGAAAAAGGGTTCCCACAAACTGGGAAATGTCTTTATAGTGAGTATCTACAAGGGTAGATAAAGGCTCGGATTCGGATCCAGCAAATTACCGTCCAATTGCTTTGCTTAACATTTTCTATAAATTGTATGCAGCCCTGCTACAACAGCGTCTGGCTAAAGCGCATGATGACAACTTCAGGCCCACACAGTACGGGTTCAGGGCTTCCCGTTCGACAAACGACCCGCTCTTCATTCTAAGGCAGACGTGTCCAAGATCTTTCCTTAAAGACGGGCACACCTATGTGCCTACTGTTTTAAGATTGGAAGATCGCCTTCGACAAAGTTGATCACAGAGCTGTGCAAACAACCTTACAAAGGCTGGGAGTACACCGCCACTACGTAGACATAATAGCAGACATGTACCAAGATCAATCTTTCACAATAAGGCGGGGCTTTAATGGCGAAGAAGTCACGGCTTAACCGCACACAGGCATTAGACAAGGGTGTCCTGCTTGCGCAAGCTTCGCGTTGCAATCCCTAAGCTTGATATGTCGGGAAACCGCAGAACCGCAAGGCCTGGAAAAGTGTACTGAGAGGTCTGGAGTCTAGGGTTTAGGGTTTAGGGCTTAGGGAGAAAGAAGCCCCAAAGCTTCAAACCCGAATCCCTGGACCCAATTCGCGAAGCTACTGCGGCTCAGTTTGTGGCCGTGGCTCCGTTGCTGGCATGCGGTTGCTTCTCAGAGGCGTGGGTTGTAGCGTTTCTCGAGTCCGGAGGGGTGCTTAAAGTACTGTGGATCTTATAGGGCTTTATTGGGGTTGTATAGGGATTAGGTATGGATGTTTGCCTAAATAAGGGAGAGTCAAGTCTAGAAGAAAATGGAAATGAAATGGACACTGATGCTTGCCTTTGGCTAGGCGGGAATGAAGGAATGGAAAAAACACTGGAAACTCCTAGTTATCGGGGGTTATCTAAGATCCGATCCATTCCCTAGAGCCTATACCCTAAACCCCATGCCGATCCATTCCTTCGTTCTTTGTGAGTCTGAAGCAAGGGACGGAGGAAATCTGGCGCCACCTATCTTAAATCCAGGGACAGGGCTGCCATTGTTGGGGGAAGGAGGTTGATACCTTCAATCTGTCGGGGTGTCTGGCTTTCTAAGGGCGCGGTTGCGGATCAGCAGCAATGTGTTGTTCGGCCTAAGCCCAAAGGTTTTTTGGTTCGATTGTTGAATTCATGCGTTAAGAATTTCTTCAATCCGGCTCCCAAAGGATCTGGCCTTACATGGGACCCCAAATCATACGCCCTAAACCCAGGCTGGGAGTCCCAAAGAAACTAAGCGCGGCCGACTTTCGCCCTCGCATGAAGTTCGGGAGAAGGAAGAAGCCAATGCTCTCATTGAAACCTTCCAACACTTTCCAGTTCTTTTAGATGTTTAATACACTTCCTCATAGTAGTCTGTATAGACGTTTAATGCTTCTTCGTCGTAGTTTGAATCTTCTTGATCTTCCTGACATTCGAAATCTTCCGCCATTTTTGACAAGGGCCCAACGATTTTCAAGGGGCTGGTTTAGTGAGTACCGTGCAGGACCCGGCGGGGCTCTCCAGTAAGGCAGGTAGGGTCTAAAACCCTAAGCCCTAAACCCTAAACCTTATCATTTAGGGTTTAGGGTTTCGGTCGGCATGGGGAGACAGAGAAATCCTGGAGCTGCCCAAGTCCAAAGCTTTTCATGCCCTTCAGAAACGGAGGTCTTAGTTTAGGAGTTTAGGGTTTAGGATTTAGGGCTTAGGGTTTAGGAGTTTAGGGTTTAGGGCTTAGGGTTTTGTTTGAGGTTTAGGAGTTTAGGATAAAAGCATGAACCCCAAGCCTTAAAGCCCAAACCCTAAGCCTGAGCTTTGCAAACCCAAAGACTACTAGGCAAAGGCAGCATCTCTTATGTAAGCTATAGTCGAAACTCCTTAAGATGGATTATACAGGGGCTGACATAGGGGAGTACTATCGGTGTTAATAAGAGGGATACCACCCTGAACTTTAGGAGTTTGGATTAGAGCTCATACTGTTTGCCCTTGTTGTGCGCACCCTGTCAAAGACTTGATGCCCCCAAACCTAAGCCTATCATTGCCTGAACCCCCAAACCTAAAGCCGTCAACCTTAACCCCCAAACCCGGCAACCAACATTGTACACTCCCGGAAACCAACATGGAAATCCAAAGAGGGCCCTATAAAGAATACAGTCCTAAGAGGGGACTATATGGGTTTCCATGTTAGTTTGGAGTGTGTAAATCAGGTGGCAAAAGGCCGCGGCGAACAAAAAAGCGCCTAAAGCCTTCGACTTACATGCTTTGTCGTACCCTGAAACCCTAAGACCCTAAGACATCTAACTCCTGAACGCCCATGCCATTGAAATGCCCTAGCCCTAAACCTTAAACCCCAAACCCTAAACCCCTTGAGGCGGTGTCTGCTGTCTTCTGGCCAGGCGTTGCATCTCAATGGTCTGTCCCTCTATCTGGGCGTTTCGCTAAAGCCCTAGAGATGTATGGGGAACAGGGGAGAGTAGAGTGCCTCAAAAACACCAAACCCGTGTGGTAGTTTATCTAGTCACTTCATTTTGGGGTTTGGGGTCGTTGTGTCCCCGGGTTGATATGCCCCGCTGTGGCGCAGGTGGGGTCCGTTCAGCTGGGGCCTAAGCCCTTCTAAGGGGGTCCTTCTCGACCACAGGACTATAGCTTGGCCAACTCCTTAAGGGGGTAATGTAGGGGAGGGGTTATCAATGGGGATACTAGGAGTTCAGACTGTAGCTCATGTAAGTTCTGTCATTCGGCGCTAAAGGCCGCTCCTCCTAAGGGTTTTTCCTAAAACCCTGGATTCCTAAACTTAAATCCGAGATTTCTAAACTTCAAAATCCTAGACTCCTAAACCCTCCTAAATCCTAGGCCCCTAAATTCCGAAATCCCTTCAAAGCCCTACGGCTCAGGTGCCTTGCGACCCGCAAACCTCGAGACGCGCCTCTTCAGGCTCCAAAAGGGGCTGAAGGGTTCTAGGGTTTTAAGGGTTTTAGGGGGTTTGGGGGGTTTTAAGGGTTTTAGGGTTTGAGGGGTTTTAGGGGTTTAGGGTTTTGGGGTTTAAGGTCTTAGGGTTTGGGGTTTAGGGTTTAAGGTTTTAGGGGTTTAGGGTTTTAGGGGTTAAGGGTTTTGGGGGTCTTAGGGGTGTGAGGGTCTTAGGAACCTATATAGGGGTCATATTGGGGTAGTGGAAAAGAAAATGGAAGCTACAAGAGCATAATAGAGTATATATAGGGGTTTTAGGGTTTGAAGGGTTTTGGGGTTCAGGGTTTTTAGGGTTTTAGGTTGGGCACTGCCCCCAGGATATTAGGGGTCCTATTAAGGGCTATATATAATTAACCCTATTATATTTATCATCCAACTGTTACTGAGGCGGGGCAGTTCCCAAGTTTTAGGGTTTGAAGGGTTTGGGGGGTTTAGGTTTTGAAGGGTTTAGGGTTTTGAGGGTTTAGGGTTTAGGGTTTTGGGGTCTTGGGGGTTTTGCGGGTTTGGGGATTTAAGGGTTTTAGGGTGTTAGGTTTTGGGCTTTCAGGGTCTAGGTTTTCAGGGTTAAGGGCCAGTTTCGAGTTTAGGGTCTAGGGGTTTTGGGGTTAGAGGTTTTGGTGGTTTTAGGGTTTACGGTTAGGGTTTGGGGTGAGAGTTTCTAAAAAGCAGAGGGCTCGAAGAACCCCTAGAGACACATTGGGATGGAACGGAATTCTGAGGGTCCTTATTCGGTATTATCAGCGGTTCTCACACTGCGACGACCACTTCCGCCGCATGCACCTATCTTGTTTGGCGGATCCAGGAGGCTCCTGTGGTGATGACGTGTCCGAGGCAACCCTGTGTTACACCTGACAAGACGCGCATGAATCCCGACAATCAGATTGCTTCGCGACCTTTCTCCCATATGCGCGGAACTACTGCGGAAGCAAAGTCTGAGCCGGAAGGCCGGAACCGCTTTGCTTGCTTCGGCATGTGGAGAGTGTCGGACCGCTAACAGCCGGTGTGGCAAGATGAAGCCAGGTTGTCCTGGCACGCGATGAGGCTGGCCTGTTGCTGACAAGATCTGACAAGTCGAGTGCCAGCTGACATGCAGACGCCGGGTGCCAAGCCATTCGGGATTTTTTGGGGAATGTTTGCAGATGCCCATTTAGAAAACCTGCCAAGCATTCAACTATAGGCATTGGGGCTTAGAATTTAGGGTTTAGGGTTCAATAACCATCTATGCCAGAATATTTAGATGCTAGGGTTCAAAAGCCTCATAGTTCATCTGACAATGTCCGAAGTGTCTTCGGTGGTATTACAGAGGCAGTACAGCCCCCAAGATAGACTGAAATTACATTTTTGCTTGGGTTTTAGTACTTTCTGACAAGAATTTGCTTCAAAAACAAGAACGCACTGCTCGGTAGAGGTCATGTTTAATGCCTTCCCCCTACTTGCCTGCCCCAACCCACCAACTACAGAAACTTCCCCTCTGGTATAAAATAGTAGTATAGTGGGGATAATTGGTTTCCTCATTGTGGGAGGAGTCATCCTTAAACCCGAGACCCTTGACCTATACTATGTACTCTCCCATAAATTTCCAGCTACAGCGAGGTAATGTCCCTCAGTCTCTTATAACTATCACCTTATACATGTATATAACTTGAACCCGGGTGAATTGAAAGGCCTTTAATTCAAAATCCTAAGCCCATTCTTGGAAGGACTTGGGAGGAGCGATCGAGAAGCAGTGGCCTCAAGCAACCTGCGAAAGACGC